TAATAAAATATTAAACATCAATAATTTTTAACAACAATATGTATAATCTTTGGTAACCTTATTTACTTTAAAGGGTTTTTACCCTAATATTTTCTTGGCTCAGGCAGACGCTTTTAATCTGATGATGGAATTATTATTCCGAAAACGTTCGTGTTAATTTGATGTAGCCTTTACATTTAAATATAGTTTAAATATACCCACTTACAAAGATTTAACCTCCTTTTTGTGATACGTGGTATACAGCCAGCTGCAGGAATTTATTTGCCTTGTGGATTTTTTTTAATGGCTAACTTTGTTACTATTACTAAAATAAGGTCTCGTCAAAGCACTTTCGGAAAGTTCTTATCTTACCTACTTAAATCTGAAGATTTCACTGTACAATTTTCACTAATCTGCGAAATACAAAAGCGGGTATGAACCGTTATAAGCAATTCTGCTTGTTCATTGGCGGATTAATACCTCTATGGAAGGTTGTCACTCCATCTTTTGCGCGGTCGTCCGATACCTCTTTTGCTGATTGGTGACTAATCTCTTGCTATTTTGATGACACGGGGTCTCCTCCATTCTGCTTATGTGGTTTTCCCATTCTTGTTTCTATTTTGTGTCCATTCATTTATATACTGTAAGTTACATTTTCTTGTAATGTCTTCACTCCTCTTTCGATCTCTCAGCGTATTTCCTGTAATTCTTCTCAGTACTCTTATCTCTGCCGTTTTCAGTAGCCTTTGCGTCGAGTGTCGGCTCTTATTTCTGAGGCATATGTCATTATTGGTCTTACACTGGCTTTATAAATTCTTGACTTCATCTCAGTGTTAATGTGTCTGTTTCGCCATAGTGTTATTAAGGCATCCTGCCAGTCTATTTGCTTATTGTACTTGATCTTTCACTTCTTTGTCCAGGTCTCCATAGCTGGACTGTGTAATTCCAGGTATTTTATTTCCATTACTTGTTCAATACTGATACCATCAATTTTTATTTTACATCTGGTTGGGTCTTTGATGTCGACTATTGTTTTAGTTTTTTGAGATGAGATTGTCATATTAAATTATTTTACTCTTATGTTAAAGTTGCGGACTAGTCTTTGCAGACTATCTTCATCTTGGGCTATCAATAATAAGTCGTGTGCGTAACACAGTATTTTTATTTCTTTGTTTCCCATTCTGTAGCCTCTTCCTTTGTTAACGATTTTGATGATTTCGTTCATGATTAAATTAAAGAGCATGAGGCTCAATGAGTCCCCTTGTCTTATTATACTGCCTATTTCTATTGATTCTGTACGTTGTCCATCTATTCTGACTTTCATTTTGTTGTTTTGGTAGATGTTTTTGATAGTTTTTATAATATTTAGGGAACTTCTCTATTATACCAAATATGGATTACATCTTTGAGTCTTACTTTGTCAAGTGCTTTCTTTAGGTCAATTAAACACAGAAATGCTGATCTATTATACTCAGTGATTTCTCAGTAATTTTCTTTACAAGGAATATTGCATCTGTACACGATTTTCCACTACGAAAACCCTGTTGTTCATCTTCTATACGTATCCTCTGCTTTATTAGTACTTTTAAAATTTTATAAGTTTTAGGGTAGTATTTAACAAGTTTATTTTCTGTAATTTTCTGGCTGTTTTTTATCTTCTTTTTTGAATAGTAAAATTAGTTTATTTCCTAGTTCTCCTAATAATAATAATCACTATGAAATAGTTAGCGAAGTTTGCTAGCATGTAACTTTTAAACTAAATTTTATAACACAAATAATCGAGAATTAGTACTCTTAGAAAATAAGGCTATTATCGAGCACAAGTTAATTAAATCTAGCCCAAGTACTTTCGCTTAAAATAGCATCTTTAGGGGCATTTCGTCAAAATGTAAACTATCCGGCAAGCGTAGAATGTGGAAACATAAAATTGTACAAAACACTACACTAAAACGAGGACAAACAGTTTAAAATTACTTAAAGATTATACGCTACATTCTCTGTCAGTATCTGGAGGGATACTGACAGAGATACTTCCCTCCAGATACTGACAGAGAATGTAGCGTAGAATCTTTAAGTAATTTTAAACTGTTTGTCCTCGTGTTAGTGTAGTGTTTTGTACAATTTTATGTGATTTTTAATGTTTCCACATTCTACGCTTGCCGGATAGTTTACATTTTGATGAAATGCCCCTGAAGATGCTATTTTAAGCGAAAGTACTTGGGCTAGATTTAATTAACTTGTGCTCGGTAATAGCCTTATTTTCATTTAAAGTTCATTTATTCGAGCATTCAACCTCATTTCAATAATTAGTACTCTACCAAAAAAACAATTATTGCGTTCAAATTCGTGGTTTCTCAACTACTACCCTTTCAGACGAGGATACTGTATCTGAGATACGCGTATCCGAGACGCAGATATTACATAGACTCAAATGGAGCTCAAATTCAGTATCTCGGACCTTCCTGTCGCCGGCTACTGAATGTGTATGACAGATGCAGACACGGATACTTTTGCACCACATTCCATAAACGCACGATTTTCTGTCGAATTGTCGAATAGTTGTGAATGAACAACGAAAGGGAAAAGGTGTTTTTTGAATATAGTTAAAAATGGAGCGTGCTGTGTTTGATAACGACAAATTCATTTATTTACATTTCATTTCATTTGTTTGGTACAACCAAATCCCTGTCTGTGGGATACTGCATCGCCAGATTACTGCAACAGAAATAAAAAGCAGCAATGCTAGGGTCGAGATTTCTAAACAAATGTGCGATAATTTTGAGACCATGACTGCAGTTCAACAAAATGAATACGGTAAGAAATAAACATGTTTTTATTATAAATACATAGGTATTTTGTTTCATACGTATACAGTTTAGTTTTAAAAGTTTGCTTATTGGAATTTTGATTATTTAACGAATATAAAACTACATGTGTGTACTTATCGAATATATTAATTTTTCCTCAAAAAATAATGTGTTCAATATCATTTAACCACAAATATTTTTAGCAATATATTACACAATTAGACCAGTCTGGTTAAAAAAAATGGTCGAAAAATGTTTCGCAGATATCTGAAGCTTTTAAGACATGGGTGGGGGTACTATATGATGAATAGATGAAAAGCTACTCGTATTTTTACCTTGCGTTTTTTTTAAACAATAATGTATGGTCACAATTTGATTTTTTGTCTATAAGTTTTTTCCCTTATATTCTAAATAAACAATATTTATATCATTTTTTTTATAGCAAGAATATCTTTATTTTCCCGTTTTTTTCAATTAAAATTGATAAATAATTTACGGAGATATTTGCAAAAAAGCAGGTTTTTTTGCACTTATGTATGAATTTTATTAATTTTTTATTAACAAAATAAAATGTTATTATTATATTTGAACGTCGAAGAATTACAGTCTTTTAAATTTGTGGGAAATTTCCCCCGATGTGTCAAATAGTTTAAAGTTATTTAATTTATTTATCCCTGAGGCTAAAACTTCGATGAATCTTGCAATAAATTTTGATACAGCAAATTATACGTTCCTTGGTTTCCCTTAATTCTACAATAGGATGATCCCACAAATTACGTCGTCTTTTCAGTTTCTTTTTCTTTTTATTTAATATGTACACAGCATAACACACTCTTCTACATCCATAATCAAAAAAACTATAACCGCACTGCACTGCTTATGTTTTCATACTGACGGAAAATTTCTGTCCTCCCTAAATTGAACATTAAAATATCCCTAGAAATCCCTAGATAGGAACAAATGTATATATGGTTGCCTAATTCTGAATAAAATGATGGGCTGTATTGATGGTTGCCTAATATAATAACATGGATGTAACAAAATAATTGTTGTTTTATACCTTTATTTCAAAAACATTACATTTTAAACGGTACAATAGCCATGATATAAATAAATTTAACAAAAACGGATTAACGTACTTATTTATGGCTTCGAACATTCCATTTAATATATTATTATGTATTATTCACTTAATCAAATTAATAAAAAATACAACTTGAAGAGAAATGAAGCATAGAATTTTATTTATATATTTCCATGAATCCTGCAATTCACCAAATCCCCTAATTATTTATTTTATAAAACCTAATATTTTTGTAAATACCCTAATTCCTGCTCCAGAATTTGCTTCTCCTTTCTGAAAATATGCAGGAAAGCAATCTATTTTTGGCAGAAAATCTATTTAGTAGCATAAAATAAAGGGTCCAAGAACGTGGACAGTTAGCGACATCTTATAATAGAATCCTTAAGTAGTTTACTAGTAGTTTAATTATTTGTAATTAATGATCGCTTATTTAATACTGTTAATACGAAGTAGTTTTATACCTGAATTAAAGAAAATGTTATTATATTAGACATATGTTTGTAAATATTTGAGCCGGTCAAAAATCCCTAGATTTTACACTAAATATCAAAAAAATCCCTTTGTCCCTTTTATACTGAAATATCCCTAGATTCGGGATAAATCCCTAGACCTGGCAGCCTTCCTGACGAGCATGCATGTGAATACGATACAGCAGCCATCCCAAATTCTGTATCTCGCATACAGTATCCTCGTCTGAAAGCGCTCCATTAAAAGCGGCGTCCACAATCGGTGGTTTCTCAATTCGTTTTTATTAGAAATGGCGTTCTCACTCGGTGAAATACTACTGATAACTAGCTAACTGATTTTATTCGATATTTGGGTGTAAAACTACACGGTAGGATTATTAGTTACGAGAAAAATTATTTGACTACCAATGGCGTAGTCAACACTTCAACATTTCTTACACAAATTTATCCAGGCACTAAAAGGGAAATAAAATATAAAGGGACAAGGTTAGAGCAAATAATAACAAGAAGGTAATTCTTAAGTAGAATCCTTAAGCAATTATCTGAATATCTCGGTGGTTTGTACACTGGAAGATTGAATGTCACAATATAAGCGAAGAATAATTGCACCTAACTTTACTAATATTTAAGTCAATGTCTACTTTACTTGTCTTATTCTTTTAGGAACTTGCAGAATACGAAAAAGTTCACAAATTAAGAATTGATCAAAAAACATTGGAAAAAGATTACTCAGAAAACTCTTCAGGCTTTCAGTGTGTAGTCGCAGAAACGTCTGACAACAGGTTGGTAGGATATGCTGTATATTCTGATATGTATTCCACTTGGGACGGCAAAGCAGTATATTTGGAGGGATTGTATGTGAAACCAGACTACAGGTAATGTAACATTAAGTGTAACAAAAGAAATAATCAGTGTTCTCTTTTTATGTTTATTTTATCATTGAAAAACTACCAATAATAGACAAGAGTGAAGGGATATGCTACACACATCCACTATGCGAAGGAGAACATGTCAATCAAAAAAATTGAGTTCTACTTCTCAATTCTTAATATAAAATTTTTTTTTTTTTGTTTTATCTCACTCTTCATTTCAAATTTCGTGTGGAATTTTTATGGGATTCGTTAAGGAATGCTTACCACTATCAGTTTTAAAAGTTTTCACTTAATTTCTTGAAGCCCTTCAATAATTAAAACGGGATATGGCGATCCGCGAGTGAGGAGTAACAAACATTGTGTAATATTTTTAATTCAACTTCATTCCGGTAAAACCTCGTTTGGTTCAACCTGGATAAAGTCATTTTCAAAACCTTATAGATTATTATCTATTTGTTGAAATGTCTTGCAGTCTCATTGGCTGCCTCATATTGGTTGTTTCATATCGTTGGCTTCCTATAAATGTATATAGTAGTTACTTCTTCTTCTTCTTCTACTGCACTACAGCCCAAATTGAACCTTGGCCTCCTTTATTTTTTGCCTTCACCCTTGATTGTCTGTGGCAGATCTTCTCCATACACGCCACTCCAATAAAGGGCTTGTGAGTCGCTATTTATTATGCGTTCCCAGCGCTTTCTTGGATTTTTAACTGGTCTCTTTCCCTGCATTCTAGCATTCAGTGCTCTTTTTGGTAGCCCATCCTCTCCCATGCTTATCACATGTCTGACCCATTGCAATATTTGTTTTCTAATGAAGTCTGACAGTGGTGCTTCCTTATAAATTGATAAAGCTCGTTGTTGTATCGACTTCTAAAGATTCCGTTTTCCCTCACAGGTCCTAGTATTCTTCCCAGTACTTTCCTTTCGAATGTGTTGAGTTTGCTTTTGGATGTTTCTTTCAGGACCCTTGCTTCACTGCCATAGCATGCTATTGGCCGAATTAAGGTTTTATAGATTCTTATATTTGTATTTCGGTGGAAATTTTTAGACCGAAATATATGGGAGAGGGCAAAATAAGCTCTATTTGCCTACGCCTCTTCCGTATTTCTCCATCTTCTGATCCGTCAGCATATATTTCTACTCCCAGGTATGTAAATTTTCCATCCAATGCAATGTCATCTTCATGTATAGTGTTTTGTATGACTATATTTCTTCTCGTCTGTATCATTATTTTTGTTTTTTCTGTGTTAATTTCCAGACCTAGCCTTTGCGTTTTTAACTCTGCCTATGTTTCCTGTGCTCTTATTGATTTTTTTATAGCCCTTTTTCTATCCGAATTGTCGAATAAAGGCCTCTCCCATTTCTCGCCATTCATCCCTGTTGTGTGCTAGGCGTTTTCACATTGGTCCTGCGACTCTTGATATCGTCGCTCCAGCGCATTTGAGGTCTTCCTCTTGGTCTCTTCGCATCGTATGGTCGCCAGTTTCCGACTTATTTGTTCCATCTACCATATTCGAGACGTTCGTTGTGTCCAGCCCATTTCCATTTTAATTTAGCTGCTTGTTTCGCGGCGTCCTTTATTTTTGTGTTGTTTTGGATTGCTTCGTTCGTTTGCCGATCTATTAGTGAGATACCGAGCATCTGTCGTTCCATGGCTCGCTGAGTTTTTCGAATCTTGTCCATGTTCTTTTTTGTGAATGTCCAGGTTCGAGCTCCGTAAGTGAGAACGGGAAGGATACAAGAATCGAACACTTTGGTTCGAAGGTTTTGGGGTATCTTTTTGTCTTTCAGTATGTATGAGAGTTTTCCAAATGCGGCCCATCCCATTCTTACTCGTCTGCTTATTTCGGTAGTTTGGTTTTCTTTTTTTACCTTGATATTCTGACCCAGATATATGAATTCTTCTACATGTTCCACTTTTGTTCCTTGGATGGTTATCGTCGGTTGATCATCTTTATTCGACATTAGCTTAGTTTTACTCAGATTCATTTTCAGTCCTTTGTTTATGGATTCCGTTAAAAAAGCTCATCCAGTGGTCGGGTATTTTCTCTTTTTGGCATATATCTTTGATGAGTGCGTGGATGTGACTTGCTATGTGATCGCCACCTACTTTATACAATTTTGCTGGTATTCCAGGGGCTTTGTCATTTTGCTCCCGGGGCTTTGTTATTTTTCTGGGCCTTAACAGCTTCGAGAATTTCCACTATGGTTGGAGCTTCTATTCCATTCTCTACTTCATTCTCTTCTAAGTATCATATATTCATATCTTGTCTGCTTTCCGTCTTGCGACTTCAAAATGATTTTCGCCTTTCCTGAGTTCTTCTTGTTATATACATTTTGTGTGCTTCATTTCTTTCCTCTATTTTTTGTCTACACTCGACATCGAACCATGCTCCTCTTCTTGCCTTTTTCTTGTTTGCCAGGACGCTGGCGTTGTCAGTACTGCTGTTTTGATATTATTCCATTTGCCCTCTATTGAGTGCAGTTCTAGCGTTGATGAAAGATGGTCTGATCCACAGCATGCTCCTCGTCGTGTTCTCACATCTGAGATACTACTGGCTGCCCTTTTGTCTATTAGCACATGGTCGATTTGATTAATTGTGGTTCCATCTGGTGAAATCCATGTCATTTTGTGTATATCTTTATGTGAGAAGCATGTAGAACTGGTGGCAAAATTTATCAAAAACTTCATATTCTCGCTTGTTTCATTGTGCAGTGGGTGTTTTCCTGTTGTGTCAAAGAACTGCGGCTTCTTGCCTGTTTTAGCATTCATATCATCAATGATAATCGTGATGTCATTTTTACAAATAGTAGTTACGCTTTAAGTAAATGGTGATCAGATTCATACTCTGCTCCTCGATAAATTCTAACGTTATTAACCTTTATTGTGGGGTTTTCCTCGTATATACAGTGGTACGATTATCAATTTTTTTGGTTGGGTCTATGTGAATTTATTTATATCCTTGAGCTGATAGTATCAATGCATTATCTTTAAATTCATATAATCGCAGAAACTTTGCTATCTACTTTTCTTCCGGTTCTACCATTTAAGTGACCTAGTGGAATTACCTTTTTTCTAGATCCAATACTCTCTACCAAGTCCGTCAATTCGTCGTAAAATTTATCCTTCACCTCGTCCTTTTTAACACTTAGTTACGTCCTTTTAGCTTCTTTCTATCTTAACTTTTACTAGCCTTTCATTTATTGTTTAACAATCCTTAATATTTCGTGACAGCCTTTATTTTGTCAGTATACTTACACTTGCTGCTGGTTTTCTGTGTTTTCCTACTCCATTATAGAAATGAACAAAATCTTTAAACTCGTGTGTCCTATTCATTTCTTTTTGTTTTTGTAAGGACTGTTACATCTAATTCTAATCTCTTAATTGTAGAATCCATGTAGTAGTATATTCTATGTAGTTGTAGATTCCATGCTCCAAAACTCATTAACCTTTTCGTAAACTGGATCGTTTTCCGTTAGCACTGTTCTGTGTTCTATTTCTAGGAATTTTTAGAATATTTTTTTCCATGTGATAAGGACAAGGCCCGTCGCCATAATCTCCAATTCTGGTGGGCCGAGAAGATTTCTGTATTGTTCTTCTACCTTAAGTCGATGTAATGTAAGCGTAGCAAGTGAGTGAGAAGTTGGAATAAAGGGATAATGGAACAATAAGTAGCATAGAAAAGATAATAATTATTCGAGATAATTATCATATATTCCAAATTAAATAAGGGATAATTAATACAGTTAACTTATACATTTAAATTATACAAAGTATAACAATTGACCTAGTTATTGCATTGTTTGATAATTGTTTAAACGTATAAAAAGCACGAAACATCCGTGACCCAAATAGGCAGCAATAATACCAAAACTGCAACTCAGCGAACCTACGACCTTGGTACTAGAACCGGCGTTGAAAGTACGACGACAATAAAACAAGAAGAAACGACGGACGCCGGGCAGTTAGTAATGAGTAGTCAGTAGTAGTAATAGCGGGCCACCGTGACTGGGACGCGACAGCGTCCCGTACGCGTCCAGTACGCGAGACAGTCGGTGATTTTCCGGGGGCCGGGTATCTTCTGTCAGAATTCGCGTGTAGTCCGGTTATTGTGGCAGCTCGAAAGTTCGCAACCCTCAACTGACCGAGTTCCAGAAGACTGAACGTGTCGTGGTTTGAAGCCCTAATATACACATAAGGTAACAGATTTCTTATACTAACCTGTGTAATTATTATTTGTACCTCTGTCAAACTTTTCACTATCTTGCTACATCGTCTCCCGACGCGCAGAATAACGTGTTAACGATTGTATTAGGAACTTCAGGGTAGATTCAATATATTGTTGACTCTAATATGGTTTTTTTTTTTAATGTTCCTTCGTCCGACTCACTAGAGACTAGGAGAACACGAGAATTCTGCGTATACATATCTATGGCTTCAAAAGGTAAGCCGCATAACTTCTTTCTTTATAGGACCCCTTAACCCCTATCCCGCTTCCTTACCTTCACGTAAATCTGTCCCAGATTATTACATTGGTGACAGCGGTCCCGGTTTGGGGGAATTTCGGTAAATAGGGATAATTAAGTCACTTCTTCAGTATCCTTGTAAACTTTTGCAAGTTTTGTAGCTATAAGAAGCCTTCATCGTTTCATTTCGCCAGTGACATTCCAATTTTTTTTCTTCTCTTTCCTAAGGACGACAACAGATTAAAGAAACAGTGAGGTATCCAGTAAATATTGTGTGGAGTGCAGGACTCCCTCTTCTGGAAGAAAAATCCTTTTTCTCTCTTTGTTATATAAACTTGTTAGTGGTTTTACACAAATTATTCGTATATAGTAGATTTTTTTTTTTTTGTCTTGTATCACTGGAAAATAACCTCATATCAATTCCTTCCCGAGACTTAGAATCCTAAATTAAGATAGGTGAATTGCTTTTATGACATATGTGAAGAGATGACAAGTACAAATTTTTTTCAAAAATACATACTAACACATTATATGATG